GGCGAGAGCAAACTGTACTGTGGTTTGTGCGATACATCAACCCAGCAGTCAAATGATTTCGCTCTTTGATGACATTATGGTACTCGATCGAGGCAGATGTATGTACTGCGGACCAAAGAGCGAAATCTTAAACACGTACAGCATTGCTGGGTTTACGTGTCCCAGTTTCTATAATATAGCCGAATTTGGTAATGTTTGACTTTACTCGTTTAACTTGATAATAAAAATTAGAAGAAAATAGAATAATTAGAAAAAGAGCATTCATAAAACTATACGCACATAATTTATATATATATTTTTTTAATTTTAGAACCGGTTTTTTTTTATTAATCTTGTTCAATATAATTCTTCTTGAATTAAAGAGATACATTATGTAATTAATTTCAATAAATTATTCTTTAACTTTTTTTTATTAAGTATTGCAATAAACATTATGAGAAATATCTGTGTAATAATATTATTATTATGATTTGAATATTTGAGGGATGTGTACTTTTAAGAAGAAATACTTAAATAAATGTTTATCCTGAAATGTATTCATTTATTTAAAAATCTATTCAATTATATGTAAATCATATGAATACATTTTATATTATACTGTAAAGATTAGAATTTTTCAAAAATATCACAATTATAAAAAAACAGTAGATAATTATTTGATTGTATCCTTTTAATTGCAGTGCTTGAAGTAATAACCGAACAGAGGGGAGATTTAGAAAATCTATACAAGATTTGTCGTGATGAATACGAAAAATTCAGATCACGCAATGAACATAATAAAAATGGTAAACATGTTATATTTTATTATTTAGATCTTGCATTTCTATCTCGGTTAATTTTATCAATCGATAATAAATTATTAATAATTTATTAATTATTTTAATAATTTTCGTATATTAATTTATATGTAATCTTTTATCTTGTTTAGCAGTTATCCAATAATAAAAGCATTAGTATTTTATGTCAAATATTTATACTTATTGCATTCTTTATAGAAATTTAGATTTTTAAAAATATGGGATATCAGATTTGAGTATCATGCGTATAATAGAATTAATATATAGAATTAATATTATTTAAGAAGCACAAAAATAAAGAGCAAGATAATTCAAACAAATATGAGAACTGATTTTTTCAATTATTTTTATAATTTTTATAATAAGTAATAAATTAATTTTTGTAGAATTGGATCTATCTATTGAATCCAAACAGAAAAGTGAAATAGATGATAGAGATACATATATAAATAGCGTAATAATAAAGAAAAAATCGATGTGGGAACAGCAAAAAGTTTTATTTTTACGAGCTTTAATTTGCATCAAGCGAGATAATGTGAGTAGAAGTTTCTGAAAATAATATTTCCGAGTGTTGAAAAGAATTTGTTTGGAAAATCAAAATGCTATTGTTTTGATTGATTTTTTAGACCTTGACAAAACTAAGATTAGCGATGAACATCATAATCTCGCTATTGTCAGGAATAGTTTATTATAATTTCGGCGACGACGCGGAAAAAATATTCAGCAACGTTGCTCACCTATTTTCCTTTCTAATATTTTTATATCTATCGAACGCCGTATTGACAGTGTTATTAAGTAAGTGACATAAATTTCTCTGTTACATATAAATGTAATATATAATTTGTATTATTTTATTATTATAAAAATAACTAAATTATATGTTACTATAATTTTTTAAATTTCTAAACACCTGATAAAATTTCTTTGGCAAGATTTTCAATTTATTTTATTTTACTTATTTTAAACTGCGTAGTAAATGCACTTCATGGATTTTTATAAATAATTGTATTTTGTGAAATGCATCTGTCATATTTGACTGTAGTTCCCACGGAAGTGGCAGTATTCCTGCAGGAACATTTAAATAATTGGTACTCTTTTAGGTCTTATTACAGCGTGAAAATATTAACGGATCTCCCGGTGCAAGTATGATTTAATTTAGCATTATAACTTTGTTACTAATTATTTCTTTTAAAGATAAAGCTCTGGCTTTATGTATATTAGATTGTAATTAAATATGTTATATCATTGCTTTTAAATCAACAATATAATTTCGTTTAATTTCTAGATACTTTGCACCTCATTTTTTGTATTTATATCATACTATATGACAGGACAGCCAATGGAATTTGATAGAATTTTAGGAGTATGGGGCATTTGCCTGTTACTTACGATTCTTGGACAAACGGTCGGAATGTTTGTAGGCACAGTTTTTGGCGCTGAGGTACTCTAACGACGTATTTTTTATTATTATTTTATTTAATGTTTATTCTATTAGAAAAGTTATAAGAAAAAACTATAACAATTTAATATTACATATTAATATTATATCGGAAAATATTGCGGTTTTAATTATTTACTAAAAATAAATTCTACTAAGAATAAATCATTAGATAATGTCTTTATATACGTAATAATAAGTTTTTCAGTTGAATATCTTGTACCATATAAATTTTTATTCGATTGTTATTTATGAGAATGCAAAATATAATTAAATATAATTTTTTTTAGATAGGTGTATTTTTAATTCCGGCAACCGCTATACCATTTTTTCTATTCTCTGGATTTTTCGTGAAAATTGAAGAAATGTCGACATATTTGCAGCCTTTAGGCTATTTGAGCTTTATCAGGTACATGTAATTTTATACAACAGTAAGTATTAATTAAATGCTTTTAGATTTATTATTGAATAGTATAAATCTTTCCTTTCTTTATTTTATAACAGTTATTTATCAAAATTGTTGTTTCTGCTTCTTGATAGAGACATATGTTTTGTATTATATTTCAGTTATCTATATTTTTTCAGTAAATTTGAAACAAAATTTTATTGTAGATACGCGTTTGAAGGTTTAATACAGGCAGTCTATCTTGACAGATCAAAACTGTCATGCTCGGAAGTTTACTGTCACTGGCGTTCGCCAAACAAGATTCTCTCATTGATGGGCATACCAACAGTGCCATTCCACGTAACTCTGATAATACTTGGCTGTTGGATACTGTGTTTACACGTGATCACCTATGCAGTACTTTGTTGGAAAATTTATTATGCAAAAAAATGACTTACTTAATATTTATCTCAAACGAGAGAGTGTTTTTATATGTTTTAAGCAAAAATTATCTCTAGTGTAAGTAATCTTTTTGCAACACTGGGCAAAATTTTAAGAGAAATAATAGGATCAGAAGTGTATAAGCAGTACAAATTTTTTATAGCAAATATATAACAGGTTTAATTATAGTAACAATATTCTTTATAAGTGTTATTAGCATATAAATAAGCGTCAACGGAAATCAAGTGTTATATATTATAATTGATCATCATGTCACCAGAAAATCGTTAGAAAGTTACTTTTAAGTAACAGTACTTTACATTAACCCATAAGATATTATTTGGACATATAAATTTGCAGTCTACAATAATTGTCGAAGTTTGATCAGTTAGACGAATGTATATTGAAAAAATAGTGTGTGTGTGTGTGTGTGAGTGTTGTGTAAGCCATACACAGAATGGCATAATTATGTTCAACATATATGTACAAAAAGTATATTATATTACTTGAAAGGTTAACATTAATATTAATAATGAGTTATTAAGTATAATACAGATCTGTATCATGCAGATCGAGAGAGAGAGAGAGAGAGAGAAGCTGACTACTTAATGATTACGACTGTAAGATACTCACCGACAGTTGTAACTGAGAACTCGAGAGATACACTCGCAAACACAAGATTTACCCATTCTGTGAAAAAAAAGTGATTTTTCTCTTACGCGTACAACCAGCAATCAATACATTAAATTATACTGTAATGCTATAATCAATAGTGCATAAATGGCGTAGTCTACTTAATGCTACAAATGCTTCTAAGCATTTGACTTTCTAATCAAAACATACATTTTGCTATTTGACTAATCTGTTTTATTTTCTATAATTAGTGTATGAGTACTACCTGAGTCACAGCTCGCGATTATGCGGAATGCACAGCGTAGTTAGTTCCGTCCGTTGTTCGTTCTTTGAAAATGTGAACAAGGCCGTGAGAAGACAACAAACAAATCGCACGTGGTTACGTAATAAGTGATCTTACTATTCTTGTTAGAGCAAAAAAAGTATTGATTCGAAGATACGGATACTTTTCTTTTTGGGAATTCTTTAAAAACACGGCACAATCATAAAGTACTTCGAAGCATTTGCAGCATCAAGTAGATTATAATCATTAATTTAATGATCATCGTGTATCATTGCGTATCATGCACGTTATCTCGTACACATAGCGTAAACACTTGTTCTTCAATTAATCAATTGCAACAGCATTGACGGCTACTTTTACGCAGTATTTGACAAAATGCTGGAAGTAAACGGTAACAATGACGCAGCGAGGATGCTTGACGGCGACTGCAAAATCTATGTGCAGGAATCCGAAAAATTGCTGGGCCCCAAAAAATCACAAAACTTGCAAATAAACATCGAATTCAACGATCTCTGTTACTCTGCTCGCGATCGAAAAGGCAAGCTCATTTTGTTATCCTATGTGTATTATGTATTTATGAAAGTCGTGATTCTTTTCCATTCTCGATATCCTCGATTAGTTTTGCATTCTCGATATCCTCGATGTTTTTTTATTGCTGCGCTGGACTGCACAAGAACTTATCAATCGCTTTTATTAAATTTCAAAAATATATACCTGTTTCACTTTACGTACAAAGAATGTACACTCAGCAAATGATGACAATTACAGTCTCTATCTCTTTGGTTTTTGGTCGGAGACTCTGATATCCTATTGACCTATTTGAACGAATCGTCGGCTCTTCTACAGATGGAAAAATCACTGACTAACAGTTGAAAATTTTGATAATTTTTTTTTAAGTTAATTTCTTTGGTTTTTTGCAATCATCGACTGTTTAAACGAATAATCTCTGGCATTTAAAAAAAAACCCAAAAAATTTCCGGTTGCGACCTAATCGCTCTAAATCTCCAGTAAAAGAACCAAATCTGATGATCTTTTTTTTTAGAAGAGAGTATAACAAGAAAGTAACAATAATTTAAAAGTAATCGAATATGGCAGAGGACTATCGATTTTTGGCGGCGAAATACTAAAGATGACGACCATGACATTTAATCATTAAAATTAAAAAATAACTTGATTAAAAAAACAATATGTTATCGGCATGTTGTTATGTTGCATATAAATACATCATGCTTTACTTCTCGATTTGAGCATCAAACGCATTCATTGATAATATACAAATGTAATAAATTATAGATGTTAGTTAAGATTCCCTTAATAGTTAAATAGCGAATTGTTACAAAGTTCTCACATAAACGATTCTAAACAGATATTTACAACATTTATTTTTAACGTTGTAAGAGCTTTTTGCATACGAATGTTCTCTATATAGCCTTTTAACTGAAACTATTAAAAATTAAAAAACGCGGTAGTATTTCGCGCCAAATTCACGCGCAACATAATTATGTTGGACAACGAGACCTCGGATTCACGTAAGCAAGGAGAGTATTTAATATATTTTACAAGTCTTTTACAAGAGTTTATTGATTGCAAGTGTTATTTTATTGAACACTTTTATAATATATTTTTCATGAAATTTTAATGTGTATTTTTTCGCTTCTAATGTTATAATTTACGTAATAGATACCCAAAGCAAAATGACGTCAAAAGACGTCTTAATAACATCTCTAACATTAATGAGACCGTCACCTTGCTACTTGGGTATCTTTGCATTAACTTTATCCTGTTCGCATCGTATAAAGAATACTAGTATACATTAACATATTATATAATTATAAGAATAATAACATATTATATAACTACCTAATCAGCACACAATATTTTTTAAATGTTTTTTTAATGTTTTTTTCATTAATTATTCATTTCCTGAATTCATTTAAAAAAAAAATATTTATTTAACATTTATTTAATATTTTTTTTATATTAAATATTCGTTTAGAATAATGATTTCTAAAAAACGTTTTTTAAACGTTTATTTAATATTTTTTAAATATTTATTTGTCATTAATTTTATGTTTGAAATAAAGACTTCAGTATACATTTTTTAGACGTTTATTTAATATTTTCTAAATATTTATTTGTCATTAATTTTACATTTAAGAAAAATAATTTCAGTATACATTTTTTAAACGTTTATTTAATTTTTTCTAAATATTTAAATGTCATTAATTTTAAATAAAAAAAAATAAAAATTTTAGTATGCATTTTTGAAACGTTTAAGAAAATTAAATTTCAGTATACATTGGGTATGCGATAAATATCAAACTTAATATCTAATAAATACAGATTATAACTGCATGTTGCAGCAATATTCCAATATTAATATTCCAGCTATATTACAGAAATGATACAATATTGCTATACTATAGCAGTTATAATCTATGTTTGCTGAATTGTATATACACTTGCAATTAATTATATAATGAATTATGTAATGCGCTTCGCAATTTCTCGGTAAATATGTAAAATACATCTTGCGTGTAAATGCGATATCACGTTTCCACTTATTAGTCATAATTAAAGAAGAATTGTTTACTGTATAGGAACTGAGAAGACAATCTTACGTAATGTAACGGGGCATTTCGAAACGGGAAAAGTTACGGTGATAATCGGTCCTTCTGGCGTGGGAAAGACCACTCTGTTGAAAATCATATCGGGCAGACGATTAATTGGCGTTACTGGCAACATTATCGTAAACGGTGTTGAACGAAATATAGGAACGTTTCGCAAACAGGTATGCTACGTGCCACAACAATTCCATCTATTGCCGCTCCTCACGACGAAAGAAACATTCTATATAGCGGCACGACTAAAACTCAACATTAATCAGAACGAAGCAATTCATTTAATTGTAAGTAAAATAATAAGCAGAGTTATATATAATAAATAACGCATTGCATATATTATTTATTAGATATTTCTGTTAGATAAATGAAATTGCAAAGAATTTGGGCTTATTAAATTGCCTGGATACATTGGCAAGCAAATTAAGCGGTGGTGAACAGAGAAGACTCTCCATCGGAGTGGAAATGATCACCAGGCCATCCGTTTTCTTATTAGACGAGCCAACAAGTGGTCTGGACAGTGTGGCCTCTAATCAGGTATAGCATAAATTATTAGTGCAGCTATATATAAGTATTAATAACAATTGTATTTACAGAGGTATTACTCAATATAACTGACATAAATCGAAATGTTTATCTCTTGTTATATTATTCTGCTAATAATTCTATTCAAGCGTAGAACAAACCAGCAATATTGCAGCAACGTTGCAACGTTGCAACGTTGGAACATTATGATGTATTGCTTTGCAATATTGTTTAATGTGCTTTTAATGATCTGTATTGAAATGTAAGATTTGCTTTGAATAGCTAGTTAACATACTGCACGATATGGCGAGAGCAAACTGCACCGTGGTTTGTACGATACATCAACCCAGCAGTCAAATGATTTCACTTTTCGATGACATTATGGTACTCGATCGAGGCAGATGTATATACTGCGGTCCAAAGAGCGAAATCTTAAACACGTACAGCATTGCTGGGTTTACGTGTCCCAATTTCTACAATATAGCCGAGTTTGGTAATGTTAACTCTACCGGTTCGATCTGATTAAAGAAAATTAAAAGAATAATTAGGAAGATCATTTATTAATATAAAGCTAGACTTTCTATATATTTTTCTTTAATTTTAGGACCAATTATTTTTATTAATCCTGTGCAATGTAATTCTTTTTTAATTGATTAAAAAAATACATCTGTACTTAATTTCAAAAAATAGCATTATTTTTTAATTTTATGATTATGTATTGCAATAAGCAGCATAATAAGTAATACGGATACTTGTGTAATAATGTTATTATTATTATGATATTTAAATATTTAAAGAATGTGTACTCTTAAAAAAATACTTAAATGTTTACCCAAAAGTATTCATTATTTAAAAATCCATTCAATCATATTTAAATCGTAATAAACATATTTTAATATGTTGTTAATATACGAGTTTTCTATCTTATATTTTAAAAATTAAAGTCTTTAAAAAATATCACACAAATATAAAAAACAATGTATAATTGATTGATTGTATTCTTTTAATTGCAGTGCTTGAGGTAACAACCGAGCAGAAGGATGGAGATTTAGAGAATCTATACAATATTTGTCGTGAAGAGTACGAAAAGTTTAAGTCACGCACTGAATATAATAAAAATAGTAAATATGATATATTTTATTGTTTAAACGTTTTATTTATCGTATCTTGATTATTTTTCAATCAATAATAATTCAATAAAAATTTATGTATTTTAATTTATAGTACACATAATCTTTTATCCTACTTAGCAATGCTTAAACAATAAAACCGTTAGTATTTTATGTGTTAAATACTTACTGCATTCTCGAAATTTAGATTCTTAGCTAGAAATATAGAATATTAGAATTGAGTTCATCTTGCGTATGATATAAAATTAATATTATTTATAAAGCATAAAAATACGAAGAGCAAACAACTCATAAAAATGTAACAAATTTTTCAATTATTTTTATAATTTATAGTAATTTTATTAATTTAATTTTTACAGAATTGGAGCCATCTACTGATTCCAAACAGAAAAATGAAACATGTAATAAAGATACATCTATAAATAGCATAATACAAAAGAAATCTACATGGGAACAGCAAAAGGTTTTATTTTTACGAGCTTTAATTTGTATCAAACGAGATAATGTGAGTAGAAATTTTTGAAAATAATATTCCTAAATGTTAATAATGATAATACTAATTTGCTTAGAAAATCAAAGTGCTATCGTTTTGATTGATTTTTTTAGACCTTGACAAAATTAAGATTAGCGGTACATTTCGCAACCTCGCTATTCTTAGGTACAGTTTTTTATAATTTCGGCGACAATGCAGAAAAAGTAATCAGTAACATCTCTTACTTCTTTATCCACCTGTTATTTTTATATCTATGTAACTCCGTATTGACAGTGCTAATAAGTAAGTGACATAAATTTGTTTGTTACATATAAATGTAATGTATAATTTATGTTATTTTATTATTATAATACATAACTAAATTATATGTTACTATGCTTTTTTCATTTCTAAAAAACTGATAAAATTTCTTTGACAAAATTTTCAAATTACCGTATTTTAAGTATAGTAAATACATTTCATGAAGTTTATAATTATATTATATTAAATGCATCTGTCACATCTGACTATATAGTTCCCACGGAAGCGGCAGTATTCCTACAGGAACACTCAAATAATTGGTATTCTTTGAGATCCTATTACAGCATGAAAATATTAACAGATCTCCCGATACAAGTATGATTTAATTTAACATTATAACTTAGTTACTAATTATTTCTATTAGAGATAAAGTTCTAGCTAAATGTTAGATTGTAATTAAATATGTTGCCATTGCTTTTAAATCAACTATATAATTTCGTTTAATTTCTAGATACTTTGCACCTCATCTTATGTGTTTATATCATACTATATGACAGGACAGCCAATGGAATTAGATAGAATTTTAGGGGTATGGGTCATTTGCCTATTAATTACAATTCTTGGACAAACGGTCGGAATATTTGTAGGCACAGCTTTTGGTATTGAGGTATTCTAACGGCGTATCTTTTATTATTGTAATTTATATTTTTTTCTGTTAGAAAAGCTACAAGAAAAAGACTATAACAAGTCAATATTACATATTACAATATTATATCAAAAAATATTGAAGCTTTATTGATTATTTAATAAGAATGAATTAATAAATTATTAGATAATTTCCTTATAATAATAAATTTTTTAGTTAAATGATAATCTTGTACCATATAAATTTTAATTCGATTGTTATTTAATATGAGAATACAAAATATGATTAAATATAATTTTTTTCTTTTAGCTGGGTGTATTTTTAATACCGGCAACCAGTATACCATTTTATATATTTGGTGGATTTTTCATGAAAATAGAAGAAACGTCGATATACCTGCAGCCTTTGGGTGTTTTGAGTTTTATAAGGTACAAATAATTTTATACCACAGCAACTATTAATTAGAATCTCTTAGCATTTCATTATTAGTGTGAATCATTATTTTATTTTATAAAAGTTATTTATCAAGATTTATTGTTTCTGTTTTTGAATAGAGATTTTTGTTTTTATTATATTTTAGTTCTTTACATTTTTCAGTAAATTTGAAAAACGTAAAATTTTATTACAGATACGCATTTGAAGGAATGATGCAGGCGGTTTATCTTGACAGACCAAAACTGTCATGCTCGGAAATGTATTGTCACTGGCGTTCGCCCAACAAGATTCTCTCCATGATGGGCATACCAACTGTGCCATTTTACGTAACTCTACTAATACTTGTCTCTTGGATACTGTGTTTACACACGATCGCCTATGCATTATTTCGTTGGAAAATTTATCATGCAGAAAAGTGATATATTTAATTAATGTCCATCGAAAACGTGAAAATGTTTTCGTAGTATGTTTTGAACACAAAAATTATCTGTAGTGCAAATTCTCTTTGCAATGGACAAAATGTGGAAAGAAATTATGAGAGTAGAAATGTAAAAGGTAATGTACAAATATTTTAAAACTAAATATATAACAGGTTCAATAGTAACAACATTTTTTTACAAGTGTTATTATCATATAATTGAGCATTAACAGAAATTAAGTGTTATTATATGTAAGTGTTATAACCGGACCCAATAGGCCTATACGCAAAATGGCCAACTGACTGCAAGTAATTACACGAAAAATTTAATAGATAGCAATAGTAGGGCGTGCAAGTGATCCGTGTGACTCAATTGCGTCATTTAATAGATCATATATTTAATTCATTCTGTTCGTGTCAAAACAAGAAAATAAAAACGTCATGACCGCGATGTATAAATTTTGTAGGCATGTAATTGCTTTGTATTAAAACATGGTTATCAGTTTAGTAGTTTATATTATTGTAGCTCTGTATTCATATTGTACGACACTATATTTAGTTTATATTTTTGTCACAACGTTTTATTTATAATCAAAGAAAAGTAACACAGTGTAACTCTTTGTAAGGTAGAACCAACATGGCCAACCTTGGCCATTGAGTCCACACTTCCCTGCAAACACCGACTAACAGCAACATAATTTTAAATTTGATAACCTCAGTTATAATTATGAATTTAAAACTTACTAGAAAGAGAATAAAAAGTAAAATATTTAATTATGTTTTTTATTCAACAAGATATCTGAAAAAAATATTTTTTTTCTTTTATGTAGCAATATATGTAAAGAGCAATAAATTTATAAACTTATAAAACTAATGTTATCTCACTTTATTTTCTATATTTTTAACATTTTATTATAAAAAAGAGAGAACATATACGTGTCCGAGCCGAAAATTTATAGATTGCGCGGCTAGCAAATTGTCGCGGTTTGCTGAACGGCGCGCGGCGCCGCCACCTGGGACGATTCACCCGCGAAATAAATTATAGTTCGCTCGATAGCGAACGCACCGCAGTGCATGTTACTCCGGAATAGGGGAGTAACACGCTGCAGCTTGTCAAGGGCACGCAAGCCTCGTGCTCCAAAACTTTTCGTTTCTGTCAGTTCTTATTTCTTAAAACTTGATGTGTTTCAACCGTGCGCTATTAATTTCATCTCGGATCTCGTCTCGTGCTCGGACATCTCGCTATCGTGCTCCAGTCATTATCAAAAAAATATATCTGTCATCGTGAACAAAATATCCGTCGTCGTGAATAAGATATCAATTATCGTGAACAAGACATCTGCAGCAAAGATATCCGTTCGCGATACTTCTGGTACCGACGCGACGTCGCGTGCAAGATCTTCATTGAAGATACATACTTTCTCGGGCGTTTACCATAGTCACGTCGGTAATATTCTCACTCACAAACCATTGCTCTCTGTATCGAAGCATCAGTCACTGCAATTGTTGTTCATATCAAATAAATAAACGATGTGACCACTGGTGCGTAGCTAATCAACTTGCAGTTTTTATGGAAAAACAACAATTTTATTAGCTATTACAGTTCTCGGTCCGAGAACCTAGACCGATTTCTAGTGTCGTAGACACAAGATTAAAGAGATGTGATAATTTATCTAATGATAATTCATGTTCTAATTCCTGTTCCACAACACTTATCATCTGAAATAAAACGAGTCCGTCGCCTTATCATAATATCTCTCTCTCTCTCTCTCTCTCT